CTCGGTACTGCTCGTCCGCCTGGCCACCGGTGGTTGACTAACAGTAACTTAGCAATTTTTCCAAGCCTTGGTACCGGAAGCTTTGGGACGGCTACCAGCGCGTAGTGGCGAATATAATCGAAAACAACTCGGCTTTTGCTGAGTATCCTTTGAAATCTTCAAAACCGTTGAAGTTGTCCTGTGGCTGAGAGTAAATCTTTGCCAAGTTGGACATCCATCGTGGTTAGTTAATTTTTTTTAATCAACTTTATCTTTTCCGCACTGGTATCGATGATACGAGGCGGCTGTGTTTACCGTTTAATGAGGTGAGGAGTATGTTGATTGAGAATTTTTTTTTCTTCTATAAAGAAGCTGCAGGAAAAGTTCTTTTTAATTCTTACCTTAAATCCAATTTTAAAAGTTTTCGCTTGTAGATACTTTTTTTTTCTGGGTATTACGGAAGAGCGATCGTGCATCTCTTGGGCATCGCTGAGCGATTCGACGATGGTGTCCACCTTGTAATTGCTTTAAAGTGTGCGGACCTTATTTGAAATGAACACGACTTCTAATTCATGTAGTTAACTTTGCTTTTTTTTGCAATTAATTATGTTCTGGACTGCGGGCAATCAGTTGAGCGCGATAAAAATATAGAAAAACGAAACTTTGAGCTGTTGATATGTCAGTACGCGCGGGTTTGTCCTCGTTTTGCGGATTACAAGATCTTTTTTTACACTTTCCCCTCGCAATGAAGTTCATAGCTAGTGATGACATCACCACATGCTTGCACTACCAGTTCCTATTGCCCAGATCCAAATTTCTCCGTTCGGCTGACTCTTTTGGTTTTTTTATATTTACTTATTCTTTTTTAGAGGAAATCAAGCAATTGATTCAGACTCTCGAGTATTCTGAGCTTTGCATTTTGTTTGGCGCCCCTTTTAAAGTTTTTTTTACATTTTTATTTCAGTCCCTATAAAATTTAAAAATTATCATTATCACTGCAGGGCACCGCTGGAGTGTTGACTACGGAATTTGGCCTCTCCTGGCGCGAAGTCACTGACTTGCTTGTTCACTGCTCGGAGGGTGAAGCCACAGAAAAGGCTCTCTTGTTTGATATTGCTTGGCAGGTTATTTATTTTACAAGGAAATTTGAAATCTCAGACGCTCGCTATAGCGGCCCTCACAAGCCATTACTTCCAATTCAGTGGGGAGGAAAAGCAGATTCTTTTTTATAAAAAAAAAAAATTACGGCTTGTGATTGCCATGTGCAATCGCGCGCTAGGCGGAGATCTGCTCGTATTGGCGACCTATCCCGGCGGCGCTTTGGAGCTCAGAGAGAAGATTAAAGGTCCTCTATGAGATAAGAAAATCTGAAGCACAAACAATGATCGCGAATTGCTTGCAGACGTACTGCTTTTGGATTCCTACCGGGACGGCTATTTTAAAGAGGAATTTGAACTTCTGCTTTTCTATAGCGATGTGCTTCAGTTTTATGATCTTCACTTCAAGGGTCTGTACCACGAGGTTTATGCGGTTAAACCTTTTTATTAGGAAGTGCTTATGCAAGGATGTCAACTCCCTTCTTTTACGTAGAAGTTCAAATGCCTCGACCTGCAAGATTGGGAGTTCTCTCGGAACGCATTCAGAAAGTTTCCTAATTTGATTTTAACGTTCATGCGTACTCTCCATTTCTTTCCAGTAATACTCCAAACCGCCTTTACCAAGAAAAGGTAACCTTTCTAGCTATTAAAACTAGGACAATCTTTCATTTAGTTAAATCAGGAAGTCAAAGATCTTTTCGAGTACTGTACAACTGCCGATGTGGATCTTAGTAAAGTTGGTAGCACACTAGCCAGATTAGAAAATCAAATTAACTGTAAAACTAAGAACTACTAAAGAATTATTTTCTTTAACTAACCCCCCACTAAGTTGGGTTTGGAATAATATTTTTGTGTGCTTTTTTCTATGGAAAACAAATTAAGTTAGACCACATTATTTTGAAGCAACAGCCCGTGGGGCGTATATTTATTGTTAACTGGGATTGATATCCTGATATTGCCATTAACGTATTAATTCTGCGCTGGTAGGAGAAATTTCTGCTCGAAAGCGCTCTACTTCAAGCGTTTTTTCCCTCCAATTCCTTTTTTAAAGTTTCATTTTCTAAACTAAAAAGTAAGTTGGCGGGGGAATGAGTAATTTAATGCTGTGCTTTGCTACCAGGATCTTTCCAGAGACACCTCTAAAATGGATTCTCTTTGCTTAAACAAAGTATAGTCGAAGTCTCGGCTGTGCCGGTGTAAGGTCTTTAGTTCTTCTTCGTAGGACTAGATTTTTCATAAAATTAATTACAGGTATTGTACTTTTTTTAGCTACAAATATGTATAAAACCGAGATAAATCTGCAGATGTGTACCTGAAAATGAACCTTTATAGCTTCTTTCTCGGTACGCAGAAACACTTGCAACCGTGCTGTACTCCGTTCTTGATAATAGAAATAAGCTTTAAATCTTTAGAAACAAGTCCCTAAGAGAACAAATAACGGCAATCGCTAAGATCTTTTACTGCTACGCACAAGACCCTTTTTATCTCAGTTAAGTCATTTTCTAATTCTTCCAGTCGAATTTTTAAATGCTCGATTTGGGATTTCACCTTGTTCAACTGCTCAACCTGTTCACGCTTTCAAATAAAAATTAAAATAAAACTTACGAGTATAAAGCGAAAGATAACAAACGTTTTCTGCCTCTAAAGATTGAAGATATTCTAGAAGAACATCATTAGTTATATCTCTACAAGACTGGGCATTTGCTGATGCCACCTCTGTAGTAATATAGTTATAATTCGATGCTTTCCGAAAAAGTAGCAAAAAAAAAGTTTATATAAGCAGTAATATATATCTTTAGAAAAATCAGTAATCTGAATTTTGATAATCATGGCAACGAACTTTTAGAGAAACCAACTCATTTCCGAGTTGGGGTTGCCTTTCCAGCTAAACTACCAGGTTGTGATTTTGTTCTTGCAGGAGAATGCTTTCTTTGGCTAGAACTTTACAAAAAACTAAGATTTGATTTTGAACAATAGCTCGTGGTGGATAAAAATTAAAACTTTTTAGATAATTGCTTAATTTTAGTGCTTCACATTGCTTTATAAGCCGACTAAGCTCCAAAACGTTTTTGGTTAAACTTTCTAAGCCCTCAAAACTCTTTCTAAATTCTTCTTTTTCTTTTTCTAATAGACGAACTTTGTTCGCTAAAAAAATTATCTTTCATAAAACTGGAAGTAACTATAATTTGCTTGAGCTGTGCGTCAAATACTCGCTCGTTTTGAGCATTTTGAAATTCTATTCTGAATGCCTTTTTTAAAGATGCTAAATCAGATTCAAAACATTCTTTATTTTTCATACTTATCCTTATTTCCAGATCCTAAAACATTTATAACTTAAAAAAAGTAAAATATATAAGTAAAAGTAAAACTACTTGAAGCTCAAGTTCCTGAGTCAGTAGAGATGGTGTATCTTCAAAATGTCGTCTTACCTCCTCCGCTGTCCGCTTTACCGAACAGGACTATTATCAAGTATACAAAGAAGGTTGTTTGTATATTAAAAATTTCTAAGAAAGCAAATAAATCTCCTTTTCTTTTTCTTTAAGTACTAAGTGTTAATCGTTCTCATTTTCTAAAAATCTTATAATATTAGGTTCAGAACCCTACATAACTATAAATTATTTATTAATTATTTGTATAGAGTGACAATGCAAGCAAAATAATTGCATATACAAGCAAAACCATAGATAAATAAGTTCTCTTTATTAGACTCTTGTAAGGGTTAGCCATACTACCAAGTGGAAACAATCTGTAAATTGTTTAGCTATTACTTTACTAAGAATGTACTATACGAACAGATTAGTCGCGAGTGGAAAAATTGTATAATTGATAAAAAAATTTCTTACTGTACATACACGATATTTTATCTTTTTTCTTCTTTATTTATTAGCTACTGTCACTATTCTGTTGCACGGGTCTTTTAAACAGTATAAGTTACCCCACTCCCGCCCCCCTCTAGCGGTAAAATTTAAACGGTGCGGGGGCGACACCGTCTTGGTAGTAGGCGCCCTCCGTGGAGGCGTCCCACGTCTTCGTTTTTCTAATTCCTATAGCTTCATAAGCTTTTAAGGATGCTCAGAGTAAAAACTGTTAATAAAGAAGCTGTAATAGTAAAAGGAAAGCGATTAATCAGAAGTACTAAAAAAGTATCAAAACTTAGCTGTGAATGACCAAAAGCTTTGGTAGCTTCTGTTTTTCTTAACTCTGATTCCTCTATTTGAGTTGTTCTCTTGAGAAATATATTTAATTTACTCCAACTTATATATTTTAAGCAATTTTTTTTATGGTATATTTATAGCAAATAAAGCTTTACTACTCCTTAATGCGCCGGAGTCAACATCCTTAGTTTGCCAAAAACTGAATTTTCTGAAGTTAGTGAGCATTTATCAAGTTCCATAGAAAGTAATTCTCCTTTTTCTTTTTTTTTGTCCCAAAGGCCTGGGACTGGTAATTCTATTTCTTTCATTTTTCTCTTTCTGGCGTCTGATTTTTTTATGGAAGGAAAACCGCTTTAGTGAAAGTTCTTAAAAGTTTAAGCAATAATTTAAGGTTTCCGTTTTATCCTTAATTTTAGATGTTTAGCAAGGATTAATTATTTTTTTAAGTTTTTTTGATTGTAAAAATAGTTTTATTTGTATTAATTTTTGCACTTCGTATATGTAAACTGCTTGGAAGTTTCACACTGTAATTTTTCTAAAGCTATCCTTTCTGGCTGTGGCGTTAAAACAAATAAGTTTAATTGATGTAGAAGAACTGTTAGATAAAATTGAAAAACACTTTTGCGAAAAAAGAAAAAAAAAGAAAAAAAAATAAATTACGTTAGACTTTTTGTCTACGTTTTGCGCCTCTTTTTAGATTTTCAGTAGGCTTTTAATCTTGGATGAAGTCGATCAACTTTATTCTAAAGAGCTTTTATATAAGCTTTACCAATTACCATTTTTAACGGCGCCCACCCTATTTTTGCTAAGTAAGCATCGACAATTTTAATATTTTTTACTACAACAAAAGGTTTGTGTGCTGCGAACAAGTTTGCCAATACTTCACATCATTCAAGAAAGATTCCCTTTTTTCACTGGCGATTTATATTTCCTATTTAGGACTATATTTATTAGTGTTTCAAGATAACTGGGCACTATTATTAGTATATTAGCTCGTTTGAGACTTATACTTACTACAGTTGATATGATTGCTCACTAAAGAACATACAAATTTTAAAGAGACTTTTGTCTCCTTATAGCTTTGTTATATCGTATTTACTTGCTTCTTATCCAAGCTTCAAACACACCTGATTTTAATTATTTGAAATTATTTTTGTAGCGATCGCTACTGCACACGATCTTATCGTGCGTGCTCTACCACGTTTGGAGAAGGAGGGTTGCGCCCCTAAAGTTCTTAATTTTTCGCAGTATACGTGCGAAGAACCTGTTGCAAATGTTAAGCATCCCCTCCGTCGTTCCACCTGTTATTATAGTATTAGCGACTACGAGCAAAGTCCCCACCGAGACGGCTTGATCTTGGAGGAGTCTGCCCTTTACTATATTGCTCAAAAGGTCTCGGGCGTAGATGGGGACGTGCAGAAGGCTTTGCATCTCTCTCGGTTCCTTTTCTGGGCTTCTCTGAAGAGACTTACAGGATGGTCACTACCATAGTAAATATTACCTTGAAATTAAATATAGCTTTATACGCCTTAAAAGAATCTCAGGACTTATTTATAAAATTTTTTTATCAAGGTGGAATAGGTACGATATATTCAGAGCAAAAATTGATGAGTATTGAGATACCTTTGTATTAAATTTATAAATAAAAGAAAATAAAATGAAATCAAATCAACTATAATGAAATTATGGTTATACTAATATTAACAAACAAAATAAAATAGAACTAAAAATGATAGAAATTAAACGTAGTTATATAAAAGCTAATAAAATCTAATTATATGAAATATAGAATAAAATATATAAACTAGTACGTTTCAACCTCAACAAATTTCGAAGCTAATGTTGATGTAAATGTAGACGACTGTATTATTATACCTAGGGATTATAAATTCTTTCTTAAAAATATAAAGGTAGAATATTTTATATAAGAAAGCAGCAAACTTGTAAAAATCTTAGGAATTAAGATTAAAATAACAAACTACAGATGTGATCAAATCTTAAATCAAACCGAACTTATGGAGCAACATGCATCTAAGTTTTATGATGAGCAGCAAACAAAACCAAAAGTGACAATTTATACCAGAACTAAACCGCATTCCTTTTAAAAAGCACAGTAAATCATACGTACTATAACAAAAAATACACTATAAATTGGATACAAACTAAACTAAGTGAAATTTTATAAAAACTAGACTGGTTCAAGTAACTTTATTACACAAAAAGCATTTCCTTGTTTAAAAAAAAATTACATATTTTATATGCTACATTATTCTCACTTAATTATACGCAATATAACACATAAATATAATTAACTTATATTAATATACTTTTTCAAAAACATTTTCTTTAAAATTTCATATACTGCAGCCTAGTTGGATCTTTACAAAACCATGTTGACAGCATACGGTAAGATCATTTTTTGCACTAAGTGGAAAACAGATTAAGTATGCAATTAAAATATAATACTATACTATACCAAAATCCCTATTTTTAACTTCAAATCCGACTATCACAGTAACACAAGGCACACAACACCTAAGACATAATTTAAAACACAACATATGAAAACACAAAACAGAAATAGAAAAACAAAAATAAACATAGATTACTAATAATACATTAAGTATGAAGTGCACAACTATAGAACATATACACTACCTCAAACACAAAACACTAACCCTCTAAATTTTTACAGGGAAATTGTTCCCTGGTTAATCAAATCAGAAACCTGAGAAACAACTAACAACAGCACAAGAGAAAACATTTTAACATTTAATTTAACCTAACTTATTAATTGGCTACAAACTAAACACAGTAAATTTTATCTGGTTCAATTAAATTTACTGTATATATGGAAGCATACTTCGACCTTTTGTAAAGTATAAATACAGGTCAAAACTGATCAATAAATTATCCCTTGCTTTAATATAAATTTTTATGCATTTATACAAATGTTGATAGAGAACATTATTGCTTGCCTCATGGGTTGACAGTTACGATTTCTGAAACCCTATGGGCTATATCATATCTGTTAGTCGCAGTCCTATCTTAGCAAAACCAAAATAAACAATTAACCTTAAAGCTGAATACAGAGCCGTCAGTAAAGCTCTTTAAAATACCATTGTTACAAAAAGTATTACTAACGAACTTCTTAACTCCAATATTAATATAAAAAATTCTACTGATAAAAGCGGTGCTATAATCAAGCATCTAAAGCATATTAATATCGCCTAGTTCTATGTTAAAGACGAATTAAAAAGATAAAATTTTTTGAATGAACATTTTTATTTTAGCAGTACCCTTAGCTGACATGTCTACAAGTCATATCCCGATACAGAAACATGGAATTTTACTTACAACTTTTTCACATAATTAGTTAAGATGCAGTCATAGGTGTACCGAACATTTTTAACCCTTAGGATGACAAGAACACTCTAGAATAATAAGAAACATATAATTTCAATATATGCTATGAGCGTTTGGTAGGTTTCCCGCCCCAAAGAAAAGTGGACAGCCATCTTAAAGGGGCAGGCAGAAATCATGTAATAGGCATCGAGTTATAACACATTTTAACTAAATTGACTACATTTTACAGATAAATGTGCATCCAATAAAAGTTGAATTTGAAGATTGCGTGTAATTAGCACGTGAAAACCAATGACTCAATTACAAACATGCTTATATGAGCGTGCGAACAAGTGTCGTACCAAAACCATAGAACAGCGTGCTTGCAGGAGAGGTTGGTCTTTCCGGTGTAGTGCGAAGTAATTTAATAGAAGTGTTCTACTTCCACCTCTCTTTTTGTTATATATATTAAGGCGCTGTATTTTAATCATAAGAATCACGCGATGGGGGTTTAGGTCAGCACATAAATAAAATTAGCCAATTTTTCTTTTTTTGTTTTTCTTGATCTTTTTTTGTCAATACCTCGTTGACTGTGGCTCGAAAGAAGGCCAGTGAAATATTTATTAAGACTGGGTTGATAACTTAGGGCTTAAATCTGTCTAAAGCGTCATTCTGTTTTAAGTTTTATTTTACAATAAACTAGGAATTATATTTTTTTGTTTAAATCTATTCCTTATCTTTCCTTACCTTTGAATGTGTATCCATTAAATAATTCCTATTAGCTTTTATTAAATATTTATTCATGATACTGTTAACGTTTTAATGAGGGGGTTGTTTATAAAGACAAATCGATACAAGCAAAGGGGATACCACCAAAAAAACATGCTTATAATTAATATTGCTTAATAAATAATTTGAAAAGATTTTGAATTTAATTTTACAACTGTGCAGCCATATGAATTCTTATTAAAAAATGTAATTTTAGTTAAGAAATTATAAATAGCGGATCATACTTAAAAACTTCTTTAGTTTTAAAAATTAGTAAAGTTGTATCCCTAAGATGTTTAAAACTTATAACTTCTAGTGACATATTTATGCCGTTAGATTATATAAAATATGAATCAGTCTGCATGAGGGTTAATATGTGGAGGAAACCTAAATTGAAGTTTGTCGGGGAAACAATATAAAAAATAATTGGCAGTTGAAAAGGTTTCAATAACACTTTGAAAAAGAAACAGAAGAGAGCTTTCTCTTGAATTAGAACGGGCTTTTGTTATTTATGCCCAATTCAAAGTAAAAAAATACTTGGCGACCAATACAAAGGCTTTTTAGCAAGATTTCGATCGAACTTAGTTTTAACAAAAAAAAAAAATTTTCCTTATTTTATGCCTATAACTTTAAACTTTTATAAAGTTAATGATATATAAAGTACTTACCTTACTACTGTTGCAAGTATTTATACTTCAAATTCTAAAATTTAAACAGCTCTGTTCCTAACCTTTAAATTTTAAAAAGTTAAACCGTGTTAAACAGTTTTTCGAAGGCAAATAGCCTTTCCCTCCAATCGTGCACGTATATAACAAAATTTCTAATTAATCTTAAAAGGCATCCCGCGGTAATAAAGTTTAAATCAATAATAAATCTTTATTAAAACAAAGCTTTCTTTTATAGAATAGATAGTAACTAAAAAGATAACTAAATTGTTTTAACGCTTATAAGTATAAGCATAACCTGCTAAAACGGGGTTAAGAAATTGCTAAAACATCCCTAATATTTAACGAGCTAAATAAAAGTAATGTGGGCGTTAACAGCTCTATCCACAAGTTTTTAACGGAGCAATTGAAACAAAGTTACCAAGAAAAATTAAAAACCAATATAGAATGGTATTAAAAAAAGTTATTCTCTTGTACATAAAAATGTCTAAGCATCACTTTTACAATATAAAATTAGAACTTGTATACCACAGAATTAATACACTGGTTGGGAAAAGTAATAGTACCTACCGCTGTAGAAAGCGTAGACTTAGCTAAAAACATCAAACTAGTATTACCTAGAAAACAAATCCTTATATGTGATAAGGAGGCTACTTCCCCCTTGTATAAAGGTATTTTTTCCTTGTTTAAAGTTTATTTTAATAACTTGGTTATGTCGGTATAAATAAGAAAGGTAAATACAAAAACTGGCGACATATTAATAAACAAAGCAAAAATTTTCATTATAACTTTAAAAATAAAAATAAGGTATATATAATGTTTTTATTATTCATAGTAAAAGCCTATAGATTAACAGACCACTAAGGAATATCCCAAGGCCCTAGCAAGTTAAGAGAAACTTCTTTATGCACCCTATATTCTAAAGCAATTCGCCGACTATTATTATAACAAGTTAACGTAGTTTTTGCATGCATTGATTAAAATTATACCGTTCATTGGCATTTCGTCAATTTGCGTACTATAATACTGTTCTATATCCCTAAGCGTGTGTATGTCCTCAGTGGTGACAAAATTGATGGCTACACCTTTACGCCCAAAGCGCCCAGATCGACCAATTCTATCAAAGTAATAGCAATAATTAACGGTGACAGCTAATACTCGTAATAAGGATACCTGTGAATATACAACTCACGATTCATAGGCAAATCATAGTTGATAACTAAGGAGACCTGATGAACATCAATACCACGTGCCCAAACATCCGTGGTGATTAAAACACGACTGGGTTTTAATTTTAAACCTCAAAATAAAATAAAGTAAAACAAAAAAGGACCTCGCTCCAGAACGAAAGTCCTTCATAATAGCATCCCGCTCCTTCTGTTCCATTTCCCCGTGCATGGACGTGACAGTAAAGTTAGCCTCGCGCATCTTTTCAGCCAAATGGTCAACTTTCCTCTTCGTATTACAGAATATAACCGCCTGCGTTATGACAAGTGTGTCGTATAGATCACAAAGGGTATCAAATTTCCATTCTTCTCGTTCAACGGAAACAAAAAATTGTTTAATCCCCTCTATAGAATAAATATTAGTTTGTAATATAAAAGCTATAAATAATTCTATTTTTAAAATGCTTTGACATGCCATGAAAGAAAAAGCAGTTTGTACTCAACTACAAATAAAATTCTTCTATAGACTATCGGGTAACAGCGAACGAAAATAAACTTTCCTAACTTAATAA